GAATGGCTGAGTGAGGTGGAGGAACAAGGAAGGCGGTGGTATGAGCATGAGCATATGGGAAGCCAGTGCATGAAGGGGCCGGCCCGCATGCGCACATGCAGTCCAAGTTGCGTTTGAGACACCATTTCATGAGCAGTACGTGGGTGCAAACTGCACCAGAGAGCTTCAGCCTCCTTCACAAATCTACCTGGTCCTACGTCCTGGGTTCCTCCACCTGTGCGTTCCTGTTTGCAACTTGTGTCGCTCTGTGCACGTTTTGTATTGCTCCGTTTTGACCGAGACCCACCAGGTTGCCCTTGGGCTCTTGCTGCTCCTGCACATGCAACCCACCGTCGGCCATTAAGAAAGAGTGTGTGTCCCCATTCCTGCGCTGCACCAGGTCTGAAATGTACCTGGCGTGCTGATGGCTGTCGGAATTTAAAAGACGCTTGTCAGAGTGCGTGAGTCGCTCCTGCAGGCACGCGGGACTGCAATGGCTTGCACTCATGATGGATCGTCTCAGCACAGCTCTCGGCCTGAGTGCCCGCCTCTTTGTCATTCAGCAGGATTACGTGAGCGTGTCAACCAGCAACTACTGTGACCGTTTGCACAGCTAATTGTTCGAGTGCACAAAGACCGTCTTCTGCAATCGTGTGCCGCTTTCGTTGTTGCAACACCAACAGAGTGAAAAAGTGAGGCTGCTTGGCAGGCACCTAGGTCCAATGCCTCAGCTGTGCAGGGAACCTAACATCTGGAAACTAAGGGGCGACTTGTTGGGATCTCGCAAGTGACCCGCGGACACAGACGCCTATTAGTCGTCGCTTTAGGCAGGGTCGTCTAGAGGGTTCCCCTGGGTCGCGGTGACTCGACCATGCCCAGAAGTCAATCAACTCAAAGGGCGTGAATGCTGGCTACCCTCAGCCCTCACACCTGCAAGGGCAAGTGGCCAATGCCAATTCACAAAGCACCAGGAAATCCGTTTGGTAGACAAAGCCAGCTAAATCCGCGAGAAGGTGCGCCTGTCGTGCCAAGGAATCCAGGCTGTGCCGGCTGTACACAAGGTGAGGACCGGGTCAAGCTACTGTAGCTGAGCGGGGATGGCTGCTATCATAATGGCTGCAGCAGCGGCGTCTCCTGCAGCAGCTTCCGATACACGCAACGATGACCTCGTCCTCCCGACGTATCTGACGCCACCAAGCAGGAGGGTGATGACTGTGTCACGAGAAGCAGGCCAGCAGTGGACGAGGCGGACCAGGATTGACCGTGCTATCTGGGGCTTTTCCCACGCAGCTGCATATCGATTGAACACCGGCATATGCTACATATTACATTACACATAACTGCAATCCGAAGAGCGGACATGCCATCGGTGATGTTGTCCTGACAAGGCCTGCCCTCATGAGCCTTTTACCGGGATATCGGTCTAGTTACATAAATCTTGAAGCTCAAAGGGTTGTACGAGGAGCACGCGAGAGCGGGTGCGTGACTCAAGCGACGCGATGACTTGCGATCGAGCATCAGCATCGTTGATCGCGCTGGACGACCCTCGAAGACTGCGAAACCTCGAAGGCGTGACTACCTCTACTCCTCAGCAGCGCAGCACGGTGAGCCACTGGCGAGCGCACGACCAAAGCAGCGCTTGCGAACTCACATGCAGCGTTTGAAGCGCACGCCGGAGCAGCCGCGCAACACTGCCCCGCTCGTGCACCAACAGGTGCATGATCTGCGCACCTACAGCGATGGCCTGACGACGGTCTACACGCTCGCGTCGCCAGCACTGGGAGGCGCGGCGTCCGTCGGTGGCGGTGCATCAAAGACGAGGGGGCGCACGCAGAGTGAGATGGACCCATCAGATGGGATGCCCTACAGCACGCAGCTGGAGACAGCCGGCAAGCAGGATGAGGTGCGCAGCGCCCGTGAGTCGGGGTCCGAATGAGAAGATACCGACTTGGTGCAGCGGCAGCCGCGGCTGCCGCGGTGCCTCGCTTGGTGACAGCAGCAACGAGCGTGCCTCTGCCGCTGCATGCGCCGCAGCTGATCAAGCTCAAGGGCGCCCTCAATGAGAAGGAGATGGAAATTATCGAGCTGCGGGAGCAGCACATGCAGCTCGTGGTGAGAGCGCGGGGAGTGCGGCAGCAGCAGCCGCCGCTCAGAGGCGACCGCAGCGCCGCTGTGCGCCGGCCTAACTCGCAACCTCAGCGCGGCCCTGGCACTAAGCGGTCGCCCGTTAGCCGCGGTGAATTATCGTCAGATGCCGCCCGGCGCCTGCGGCACTGAACAGCAACGTGCAGCATTGAGCAACAAATCACCGCAGCGCTTGTCACCCCCAGCCAGCTGCTAACCAGAGACGCTCGTCTGCTTGCGCACGCTTTTGAAAAATGCAGGCCCGCTCCCAGGAGGCGCGCTCAAACTGGGAGGCTGCGCTGGAGTCGAAGGACAGAGCCATTGGGCAGCTGGAGGAGGCACTCTCCGCGCGGCAGCGGACGATCGAGCAGCTGAACAGGCAGATCGCCGCGGGCACGCCGGCGGACGCGGCGCTCGAGGCGTCGCTGGCAGAGGCGCAGGTGGGCAGCCTTTCATGTGATGCCACTGCGTTGGCCAGATGCACCGACCCAAAGTTCGAAGTAGATGTTGAGAAGATCAGGGTGCTGTCTGCGAGATGAAGTGTGCAGGGGCAAGCGGCAAAATCCTCAGTTCCGGTGTTGTGTGTGTGCAGCTCGCACAACATTCCCTGGGCTTGCCACGCCCGCAGGCGCGCGCAGCCGAATTTCAACAGGAGGCGGACGCGCTGCGGCGGGAGCGGGCCCTGGGGGAGAGCCAGTCTGACGCCCGGCTGCGAGCGGTGCAGCAAGGTGTGCGTGCGGGCCCCAGCGGCAGCCGGCGCCGCACGGGGGCACAGCTGTGGGCTCATGCAGCACCGCAGAGCGGGCTGGCTGCGCCTGCTGCTTCTCACCCCACTTTGTCGCGGCTGCATCCTTAGAGCCCCAGAGTCGGGCCTCATACACCTGATGGGTGATTTGTGGCGCTTGCCTTGTGCGCTGCGCGCTCAAGCTGATCAGCATGCCGCCACTCTGATGCCGCCGCAGACCTGGCATCGGCGCAACAGCGTGCGGCGGCCCAAGAGCGCGAGCTCTCCGCGCTGCGCGCCCTGACGGGCGAGAAGGACGCGGCGCTGGCGGCGCTGCACTCGCAGCTGGCCGCCGCGAGGGACGAGCTCATCGCCGCGCGCCAGCAGCTGCAGGGTGCGTTGATCGGGGATGGCCTTGGCAGCGTGGGCGTGGTTTTTTGACACGGGAGATGGAGCACCTGCGAATGCCGGCACCCCAGCAGCCGCGCCGAGGTAGTGCATTTTTTGCAATGGCACCAGGATGCAGCGATCCAATGCCGCCCGCATTTGCACCCCCGGTTTGCAGACGCGGCGCGCGACCCATGGGCGTCCAGTCCGCAGCATCGTGCGGCAGTGCAGCAGCAGGTTGCGGAGCTGCAGGCGCGGCTGGCGGCGAAGGAGGGCAGCAGCCGCAAGTACAAGGACGCGGTCAGGGCCCTCAAGGTGGGTGCCATGGCAGCGTCCCGCCCTGCAGCCGCCCTGTGGTCATAAAAACGCCGACCCCCCTTAGACTCTTCTTTGTTATGCGTGACAAACAGCGAGCTGTTGCTGCATGTTCCTGTGGGCTCCAATCATGATGTGCCGGTACCGCAACAGCGTCGGCGCGGCCTCCTGCAGCAACGGAGAAAATCACAGAAACGAAATTCCACCTCGCGCCAGGCCAAGCTGCGGGAGCGGGACGACGCGCTTGAGGCGCGCCACGCGCAGGTGCTGGAGCTCCACACAGAGCTCAGCCAGCTGCAGCGCATGCTGCAGCAGGGGCCGCCGGGGCTGGGGCCGGCGTCGGGGCCGGGTTCCCCCGGGATGGGCGGCAGCCTGGGGCGACGGTACTGCCTCACGCCGCCGCGGCGGCTGAGGAGCGGCGGCGGCAGCGGTGAGCGGCTCGGCCGGGCTTGGGGCTGTCTTGGGGGGACGGGCTGCGGGCGGACAAAGCAACAAGGCAGGCCGACAGTGAAGCAATGGTGGCGGTTCCGACGCGCATCACTTAGCTAGTCATTCAAGGGCCCTGACAGGGAACCACATGAAATGCGGCGCTTAGGCACAGGGGTCGTCTGCAGCAGCGCAGAGGACGCGATGGCGGCGGCGGCGGACGAGCTGGAGCGGCTCAGGATGGAGGTGCACGGCCTGCAGGTCGAGGTGCGGCCTGCGGCCCGTGGCGCATGATCTGGTGTGATCTGAGATCTGAGGTTTGTGAAGAACTTCTGCTGCACAGCACCCTTGGCCGCATGAGTATCGATTGCAGCTGGGTTATGTGTGACGGCGGCTGTTGTTGTGCGGGTTGTTGTTGCGCAGGTCAACTCTCTGCAGGCCGGCCTGCGGGAGAAGGACGGGCTGCTGCAGCGTGCGGTGGCGGACGCGGAGGCTGCAGAGGGGCGGCGCAAGGAGGCGGCGGCGAAGCTCGCGGAGGCGTCCAGGTGCGAGGCGAGGCGGGGGGTGCCCTCGCACGCTGCGTCTGTCGCGCAGGTCGGCATCCAGTGATGCCGCTGCACTTCTCCACATAGTGGCCTCCCTGCTGTGCCCCCAGCACGCCCTGCCCATGCTCCGAGCGCGGCTGGCTGGTTGCCTTGGATGGTACGTCCTTCTGTACATATGAAACGTCTGATTAGACATAGCCACTTGCCTTGTACGTAACTTATCTTATATCAAGGGAGCTCTATGAGCTGCAACACAAGCTGGGCCAGGAGCGCGCCGCGGCCGAGGCCCTCAGCGCCGAGCGCGACACCGCCGCCGGCCGCGCCGGCGACAGCGAGCGGCTGGTCCAGGGGCTGGTGGGCGCGCAGGCGGAGGGGCTCAGGGCGCAGGGCGCGCTGGAGGCGCAGGTGGGGGGGGGCTGGGGTGCGGCCCTCAAGGCAACCAAGGGCAGGGCGGACGCCAGCCGTCCCGACACGTCAACAGCCACACCGGCAATGATAAAGAGGCTCTCGCGCTGTACCAGCAGACGGCCTGTTGTTTGTGTGGATCCTTCTGGCGGGTGGCTCGGAGCCTCCGAGAATGCTTTCTCGATGACGTGCCCCTTGGGCTTCGATTCGCTGCGCCCGTCTCGCGGCGTCGGCAGGCCAAGGAGCTGAGGGGGAAGCTGGACGCGGCCGAGGCGGCGCAGGAGTCCCTCACGGGCCAGCTGAGGGAGGCCCAGGGTGCGGCGGAGGACGCGGCGCGGCGCGCGGCGGCGGCGGAGCAGCGGCTTGGCGAGGTGGAGGCGCGGGCGCAGGAGGCGGCGGCGGAGGCCTCGGCGGTGCTGCGGCGGGCGGACAGGTGGGGAAATTGGATGCCGGGGATCAGGGAAGGGCTCCAGGGCTGCCGTTGGAACTGCGGCTGCCAAGTGCTGCACGGTGTGCATGCGTGGGACTAGTCTGCAGTCTCAGGTTGTGTGGGTGTTGCAGTTGCCAGTCAAGCCCAGAGCTTGGATGATAAAAGCCAAGTAGAAGAAGCCTGCCCCAACATAGAAAAGGTGAAGCAAGTTGAAGCTTAGGTAATGAAGCTTAGGTAAGGTTAATTATTATCTAAACTGGCCCTTGGATTGTCACCAAAACGTCAGGAGCGAGGGTGCGGTCAAGGAGCTGGCCTCTCAGCTGGAGGCCTCAGAGCGCCGCCTCTCGGCCGCCGAGGCGCGTGCCGCCGACGCCGAGGCCCGCCACAAAGACGCGGCCGCTGCGGCGGCCGAAGCCCAGCGCGGCGCGGCGGACGCGGCGCGGGCCGCGGCGGAGGCGGAGGCGCGGTGGCGCGAGGCGGAGCGGCGGGGGGAGGGTGCCGAGCTGCGGTGGCGGGAGCTGGAGGGGCAGTTGAAGGGCGCACAGGTGCGGCGCCTATGTGGCGCCCCCCACTGACTGACCAGCACTCCTCCTGATGCGCACCACGCCCCGTTTGGCATCATCGTCTTGCCGGCGTTGCCTTCTTTCTAACTCGTAGCTCGCTGCATACACTGGTTGACGTGATGCGCCCCCACTGGCTGTGGCCCCGCTGACTCAGCGCCGCCCCGCCGTGTTCCGCAGGCCCAGGCGCTCGACTCTGAGCGGCGCTGCGTCGAGCTTGAGGCGCGGCTGGTGGCGCAGGAGCGCACGCTGCGGGAGCTGGAGGCGGCCGCAGCAGACTGGCAGGTGCGCATGCATAGCTGGGGCTGGTGAGGTGTCCAGGCTGGGCCAGACAGGTAGGTGCAACGGCAAGAGCATCGTAATATCAAACAGGCGGCTCATTGTCGACACCGCTGCCCTGCGATCAGATTCAAAACATCCACCTCCCTGCAGGCTCGCTTCCACGAGGCCGACAGCTGCCGAGGAGACCTGGCGGAGCTGGCAAGAAGCTATGAGGCAGCTGCCCAGCAGGTGCGCACCGCAACGTGTCTGCTTACCACAACCTTCGGGGCGGCGCACCAGCCTGGGCTGGCCCGACTTGCCACTAGCTCATACGCTCTGGACTGCCCTAGCCTTGGTTCATGGCCATCCCTCACCAAGCGCCAACAAACCTCGCGTTGCGCCCAGGCGCGAGCAGACCGCAGCGCCGAGGCGGCGCAGGCGGCGGCCGACCTGCAGCAGGCGCGCGCCGCCGCCAGCGAGGCCCGCGCGGCGCTGTCCGAAGCCGAGCGCCGCGCCTGCGAGCTGGCGGCGGCGCTGGCGTCGGAGCAGCGCGTGGCGGCGGCGCCGCGAGCAGCGGCGGCGGACGACGCCGCGGCGGCGGCGCGCGCGGGGGCGCTGGCGGCGCGGGTGGAAGGGCTGGAGGAAGCGCTGGCGGGGCGGGAGCGCGCCCTGGAGCGCGCGCGGGATGCAGCTGCTAGGGCGGACGGGCAGCAGGGGTTGGCGGTGTCGCAATTGATGGCGGTGAGTTGTGGCTGGTGCATCCGCATGGTCTTTCTTACTCATGATTCGTACGGCGAAGGAAACAACCTTGCTTTTGTTTGCAGAGCATATGAGAAATGCCTGAGACCCATGCACGCACATGCCAATGCCAATCAATCACATCAACACACACACACACTTTCACACTTGCACACACACACACACACTTTCACACTTGCACACACACACACACACACACACACACACACACACACACACACAAATACACACACACACACAACACACGTGCACGTGCATGCTTGCGTGCGAGCACGCGCATGCATGCGTGCGCGCACGTCTACACACTCAAACGTGCACTAAACCACCACACTCCTGCCATCGTCACACACACCTCAATCAGGAGCTGCACGACAAGTCAAATCGGCTTGCAGACGCAGAGCAGCGGTTCAGCCGGCTGGAGGGGCTCATGCAGCGCATCGCCCTGCGCACGGGTTGCTCTAGGCAGCACCAGCAACGGCAGCACCAGCAGCAGCAGCAGCGGCGGCGGCAGGAGGACGATGACTACGTCGACGAGTTTGACCTCGGCCTCGCGTCCGCCACCCTGCTTGGGGGCAAGGGCACTGGCGGCGGCGGCGGCAACGGCGGGGGCCGCACGCGGCCGAGCCGCAGCGCAGGGGCGGCTGCGGCGGGCGGCGGCGGCATTGGTGCTCGCAGGGGTGGGGGCGAGTGGCCCGACGTGTTCACCGTGCATTTGTAACGTAACAAGCTTTGAGCCCTTGCATAACATGACACAGGCACAACCAACCTGTCCTCTTGTCTTGAACACCCTATGACGCCATGAACAACACTGTTGTGCCCACTGGGTCAGTGGGTGAGCAGACCTGTGGTGCACAGCAAGAGCATGTTCTGGCCCAGGAGGCACTGGACACCCACTGCAGTACGGGAAACAGGTGAAGAATTAGGAGAGGTGGCTGGACCCAATCTACTTTGGATTGTGAAGCGAGCGGGCGGCCTTGTTGGGCGTGCAGCTGCGCCTACCCGCCCTGCTCTCAAGGCTCACCAACAGCATGCAACCTGTCAACTCTTGGCTCATGCATATGCCCAGAGTTGACCAAGAACCCACAGGGCGGTGGGCCAAAGCCACAGACCGCGGCAAGCTCGTGCGTTTGACGTTCAATGCTGGGTGGTCAACAGGAGCAGCTGCTAGTGAAGCTGCACTGGCAGCTGCTGTATCGTGCTGCTGCTGCTGGGCTGTGGGCTAGTCATAGCGATTCTTCTGGACCCCAGGTCGCGCTCGCCATATCACGAAGTGTGGCGACCTTTGCAGGCCTCCTCTCAGGCGTGCGCGCCAATTGTACAATTCATACCCAAGCGTGATCTACGTAGCACCGCTCGCCCTATGTGCGATTAGAGATTACTCAAAGCATCTTTGCATAGTGTGCGGCTTAGGGCGAGCATGGGGGACGTCGCTATCGATCAGGGCGCCTTTGGCAAGCGTCTCAAGCTTCTGTACGAGTCATGGAAGGTGCGCGTAGTGTCTTATGGACACCTGTATTGATAAGTAGCGGCATGGGTAGAGCTGAGTGTGCCACTGTGCCGCGGTGATCTGACAGGGCAACCGTAGCTCGCTCTGGGAGGACTCTGGCGCCCTGGGAGTCGTGGTGGGAAGCACCAGCGAGGATTTGAGGTACCTGAAGTCCATCTCCCTGCACTTATGGCTGTTTGGCTATGAGCTACCGGGTGAGCGCACACAGCACACAGCAGCTGCAGCAGCGGCGCATGCGGCACGGCCATGCTGCATATGCAAACAGGCCTGCTACAGTCGGACCCTGACGCCACAATTGGCGTGGCACAGCGGCGGAAATGGGCAAGTGCATGTAGACAGCAGTGCGACGGTGGCTGCTGATGGAAAACATTGGGTTGCCTTTGCCGGGCACTGACTCCTTCATGCCTCTGCAATCCTCGTGTCGCACAATCTCGCGCGCAGACACAGTGCTGGTGTTCACTGAGAAAGAGGTGCATGTGCTCACAAGCCAGAAGAAGGGTGAGCGAAATGTGTCGTCAATGGGTGCAGGCGCCAGGCAAACGTCTCGGAGCAGCATCGCCCAGCTGCGCTCGCGGCTGGCCCCATGCACCGGGACCACGCGCCGGCGTGGCCCATCCCGCCAGCTGGCCCAACCACGCCATTTCAGCTGCGCCACAGCTTATTATCATATGCAACCCTTCTGCACATCCTGCGCCCCCCGTTGCCCCGGGGCCCTGCCCACGCACACCCACCCACCCCTGCGACGCTGTCCCCCCCCAACCGCAGCCAACCTGCTGCAGCCCCTGAAGGATGCCTGCCAGTCGTCGGCGGGGGCGAGCCTGGTAATCCATGTGAAGGCCAAGGGGGACGACGGCGGGACCGCGATGGGCGCCATGCTCGACGCGGCGAAGGAGCAGGTGGGGCTGCGGGCGCGGGGCGCGCCGCAGACGATGGGGCGTGGCGGGGCCAGGCAGAGCGCCGCGCAGGTGCAGGGCCGGCAGCGGGCTGCCGCTCTCGCGCGGCGGTGGCGGCAGGGGCCCGGCCGGGGGCGTTGTGGGGACTCCGTGTTCCGGTCACGGCCGGTGCAGGCAATGCTGCGGATGTCAGGCGCCCGCATCCCGAGCTAGTTGGCCATGTCTGGGCCCCTCGATCTCCCTGACCCAGGCCGGAGGCGAGCTGAAGCTGGGGCACCTGCCCAAGGACCAGCACCAGGGGGCGCTCGCGGGCCTGTGGGCGCAGAGGATCGCGTCCGCGCCCGGCGTCGAGTGCGCGGACGTCAGCGGCGGCTTTGCGGACCTGTTTGGGTGCAAGGACGAGACTGAGGTGCTGAATGTGAAGAAGGCGGCTTTCCTGGCTGGCAAGGTGGGATGGAGGGGAGGGGCCGGGGTTTGGGGATGAACCAGCTCACAGGGTTGAGCAGGGGTGCATGTTGTGGGGGGCGTATCACGGGTACCATCGCAGGCGATTGAGCAGCTCTGGTTTGCGGCGCGGCCGAGGTGGCTTGGCGCGGGCCAGATGGTGGTGGTGCGGCGAGGCGGCGGGCTGCGTCGTGGCGCCAGGCCAGGGCGGTGGCTGGTGCGAAGCAGCGTCGCGGGGGCCCAGGCGGCTGGCAGGCGCAGCGCTTCCTGCCTTGCCCGACACGTGATTGTGCCATCGGCGTCCGGCGTGTTTGGTCCCTGCGACCGCCAGGTGATGGGCTTTGTGGTGGAGCGCGTGGAGGAGACCATTGACCAGGAGAAGAAGGTCAAGCACTCCAAGCTCAGCGGTGCGAGGCCCGGCCGTAGCATGACCGTATCAGCACGTGCAGCGGCGGCGACTTGGTCGGGGGCAATGTGGGGGCGCGGAGTGCGTTAAGCCAGGCAGCCGCGGCTGCGGTTCCATGGCACGTGCGGAAGGCCAAGCGTGTTTTGCGTGTTTTGCGCTTTACTTAGCGCTTCAGGGGTTTGACCCTACGTGCGAGAGCACCAAGGCGGCACCGCCCCGTCACGGTCAAGGATAAAGACCTCATGCCCCGCCCTTGTGCACCCCAGCCTCTTCCCCCAAACCACCGCATCCCCGCCTTAAACCACCGCGAAACCCTGGCGCCGCCCGCGCCCCCAGAGATGGTGGAGGGCGTGGTGACAGAGCCCACCAAGATCGGGGTCAAGCTGCGCGCGGAGAACTGCGACATCGCGTACCCGCCCGTCTTCCAGGTGCGGCCACGGCGCCTCGCAGCCTCTTCCCCCGCCTGAATCCCTTGAAACGGGTTGGCTTGCTGTGGTTTGGGTTGGGCCCCGCTGTTGCTGCTGGCGTGGAGGTGGAGGGGGGGGGCCGCTTGCTGCCTGCAGCAAAGTAAGCTACAGCAAAGGCGGCGCCGGCTGCCCGACGGCGCCCCGCCCAAGGTTGGGTGCTGCTGACCCTATTTGAGAACTCCTCTCCTTCCCTTGCCCTTCAAAACACTGACCCTACACGCAACCATCCAATGCTGTCCGGCAGTCTGGGGGGCGCTTTGATCTGAAGCTCAGCGCCAGCAGCGACGACACCAACCTAGCGCAGGAGGGCGTCATCACAGTGGCCCTGGGCACGCGCTACGGGTCGTACTGCGCCAACATCGCGCGGTAGGGGCGGGG